GATACTTTATATTGGAAAGTATTGGACTTTACTGCACTAATGTGGCATCTGCAGTTACTTTACAATTTCAGATTTTTAATACAAGACACACAAGAAGAAGCCATTCACTGTGTTCATGTATGACTGTCTGGTCCACTCCTCCTACAAAGCCAAAAGTCTTGATGTCTTTTCTAATGTTTAACTGGTGGTTGATGCTACAAAGAGTGAAATGAATGACCCCCTAACAATTATTTTGGGTAGTAAAAGCTGTCTTTGCAATATTTTAAACCTCTTGTTCAGTAAACTCTAATTCTAATTCAAAATGTTCTTTGTATTTGACACTTGTTTTGGTACTGAATGCACGTAGTACTGTTATAACTGGTCAATTGTAAACTTCCATCTGAGTTTCTTGTTCAGATTACCATATTTACTTCCCTTGTGCGCAAAGACAGCTTGTTTTTACCTCAAAATAAACTGTTTCAGAATGAATTTAACTGATTATGTGTCTTCATCCAACCTAACAATACTTGGCGTAATGGTCAAAAGCACAGAAAATAGGATGTATTGCTGCAAAAATTTTGCCTTTCACATAGTATGCCCCCTACATTTTAAATGTTTCAATCCGGCTACACAAACATTGAGCTTTTTTAAGCTAATTAAAAGCCCTGGCCACCATAAACTGGTAACAGGTCAGAGCTGTTTTCACCTCACATAACTGCAGTGTTATTTTGCGGTTATTCGGACAGTGTTTTAAACTGAACTCCTACAGGGGTGCGTTAAGTGCGCTGTGGTCAAAGGCGGTCATTATTCTTTCACTGGCTTTGATAGCAGTTTTTTTTTTTTATCATGGTGGACTGCTGTTGTGGTCATTATATGTGCTAAGTAATGTTCAGTGATTGTCCATTACAGTAAGCGGCATTTACTTTGCCGCCAGCTCCTATAGACCGCAGTGTATTAAACCGCTCGATATGTATAGAAGTAGCTCCTCCTCTGTACGGTTAACAGAGGCCGGCCAAGACAGAATGCACTTCTGTGGCATTGCACAGTATGTACACAGATACCAAAGTACACTGAGTTGGAAGTAAGACAGACAAAACACACACACTTACTCACACACATACATTCCTTTCCTTTATCTGGATTCCATTGGAACAGTGTTGCGCCAAGGCCATATAGTGACAAAAGCAATGTGAAAACATGCTTTCTAAGGTCTTTGGAGAATCTCTTATTGTTAAAATCCTGCAGGCCAAAGACAAATCCATGGGAGTTTATGGGGGACTGCAGGTCATGGTCGTATAGATTTTATAACGGTGACAAATGCATTATGCTTTTCACATAAACCAGCACAGGAGAGCCCCAGTAAAGCAGAAAAGGCCTGAATGCTTCGCGGGTTTATAACTCAATGAATTTATCATAGAAAGGGAGAGCGAGCGAGAGAGCGAGGGTGGAAAAAAAATATGGTGCTGATTTGTTTTATTTGCCCAGGCGGCGCTGCTAGTGGCTAGTTGTTCAACAGGGAGCACAGACTAAACTGCTGCCACTGGGTCAGACAGTCCTTCTATGTCCAACCTCTCACTGCAGTGAATCTTCCAAGAAGGCGGTTCTCATGGCAGCAAAGTAGCGAGGCAGGATGAAAAAACACTATTGCCTTTAATTTGAGTTAAGCATGTTCTTTGTGACCTTTCGAAGCCTTTATTGTTGGGTTAGGGTTAGTTATTGTTTGACTTTTTCCCCCTAAGATCCGTCCAGTGCAACCAAAGTCTTTCACGGCAGCGCTTATAGGATTCCCGGTGTTGCAACTGAACAGTAGCAGAAGAAGCTGTTACTTCACCATCTAAGCCTAGAAAACTGCTCCCTTCTTATCTCTCGTCTGTGTCACAAAGTAAAAATGGCCCACGAGGAGGAAGTCAAACGTATTCCACATGCAAGTCAGCAGGAGTTTCGTAACCTTTGACTGGCGCTTGCAATAAGGGTTTCAGAGTATACTGTATGGGCAGATAACAGGTAATCTCATGTTGTGCATTGTGCTGTCTTTGTGGTCACTTATCGCTGTGTAACATAACTCCAGTTTTTGTAGGCATTTTGTTGCTATACAGTAGTATATCACACTTTTTGTGACGTTTGTAATTGCTCTTATTTGTGTTCGTCTCCATCGATGGATCAAACAGACTTATCTAGTGTGGATGTGAAGGGATCATTTATGACATTGGAAACTTTAAAAGCTCCATCATAAGTCACCCCAAGAGTCAGCCCGTGATCATAAATATCTTATCACATTCTCAATATTTCCTGTATTATGCATTATACCGCATAAACAGCATAATACTGTATAAACAGGACAATAGCGTATAAACTGCACTGCTTGCTCAGGCTAAAGTAAGAATACACAAATATTAGCCAAGACATGCAAGTGTGTTTGACAGCACCACAGGTGTCCTTTAATCTTTTGCTCAGTATGCTGTATATGTGTCGAAGAGTGTGCAGATCAACTTTACCATGGAAAACAGGAAACAGCAGCAATAAATCCTCTCAGAAATCTTATTGAAAATGTTTGTTTTTTGCGCATGTAGATTGGTTGGTTTTATGACGGTAAAATAATTAGGTTTCCTGTCTTCAATGATTATTTTATGGCAGGTGTATTGATGCTTTGTCAGGACACTTAAGAGTGTGTGTGTGTGTGAGAAAAGTGAACAGAGGGGTGTGGTGTCTGGAGGACACAATGCTGATTGATCCTGACAGCTTTATGAGGCTTTGTGACTACTGAGCAAACAGAAGGACATAATGATGTTTACCTAAGTACGTTCTGTGAAAGTAGGAGTGTATATGTGTTCATATACTGAATGTATACGGGCGTGCGTGTGTGTCCGTGCGCGTGTGTGTGAGGCTGTGTGTGTATATGAGATTGAGGGTAAAAGGCACATAGGGGACAGCTATTATCAGCAACAGATAGCGCACTGTACTTTGAGGAGTGACATGCAAAGTACACATATGTGTTCCGAGATAGTGTGCAAACTGAGCGAAAACTGTGTAATGCACGCACACACACACACACACGCATATGCACACAAATACATGGACTATAATGATGCACTAAAATCAGCTGGGCTGTCCTGACCAGCAAATAGGATGGCACCAAATGCAGACACATGGGTGTCAGGAGTTCTCCCACTCCCTCTGGGCAAGACAGTGACAACCCACACACACACACACACACACACACACACACACACACACACACTCAGGACATCATAAAGTACATACAGTACGAGGCCAAAGGCTAGGGTGAGGTTAGGGGTGGAGGGCTGAGTTCAATGAGTTCAGGCAACAGTGTAAGGCCTCATTAGGAGAAGCATGTCAGGGAAACGCCCTACACAGGTCACCACTGACCCCACATGCACACACATACAGAGCAAACACTATCTGGGGAGGGGGGGAGGTCCGAGCTGCTTGTCTAGACTTGTGAAAGTTCTGCCATTTCATCAGTAAAATATCTGTAAAAAATAAATAATGACATTAATATTGATAATGAGATGATTCTGCAGGTTAAAAAAAAAAGAATAAATAAAGGGAGGGGGGGTGTTGACATACACACATACTCATGCATGCACTCTTGAGATAAGTCGACACACACATTGGAGATAAGCGACAAGTGCCATTATACTTTCATTTTTTTTTTATTAATTGTTTTTCGATAAAGGGACAAAATGGGTGTGTGAACAGGATTATGCAGACATCTGCCAGAAAACACAGACAGTGGTTTTCCCAATACAACTGAACAGAGACCCCAAACAAGTACAACAGAAATTAAAGAGCTTGGTTTGTCCAATGACCATCGGCCACCATTTACAAAAGAAAAACAAAAAAAACAAAAAAACTTAAAATTATATTATAACCAAAAATAAAAAATAAAATAAAAAGAAACCAAAAAATAAGAATCCATTCCATGTCTCTGTTTTGAACAGAGCATATAGGTAATAATAAATAGTAACTCCCATAGTAAAAGATAAAGTTCAAGTTCAAGTTACAACAAACAGCTCTCAGAACAGGAATAGAAAAGGCTGATAACAAAATATTCCGCATTGCCATTTACAAAAAAGTCTCAACTCAAGCAGGCTTCTCCACGTCCCCCGGGTCATTTTTAAATATGCTTTGCATATGAAAGTATACCCAATCTAAATATAAAGCACCATTTAGTATTTGGCAATGAAAAAAAACTGCAAAACATTTAATTTCTTTTTAAATGTATTTATTTTGACGCTTTTTTTTTTTTTTTTTTTGTTAGGCATGTACTGCATATGAAGTTTTTTTTTTTGTTTTGTTTTGTTTTTTCCTCTCTTCTTGATGTTGGAATGTAGTCAGGTGGGAGGGGTGAGAGAGACAGAAGCACACAACAGAACAGGCCGACGTCAGCTTGCATTACTGCATACAAGAATGGCAGCGGGGGGGGGAGGAGGAGGGGAAGGAGGTCCGAACCAAAAACCAAAGAAGATATGTACAACCACCTCTGTGGACAGGAAACAGAGCGGCGGCCATCTGATGGCCTGCGACGCCTCCCAATGCCACATACTTTAGCTGCTTTTTTATGGGGTTTTTTTTTTTTCCTTTTATTTCTTTAAACATACAAATAATTCGCACTATATTATCCTGCCAAATTAAAAAAATATACCGTGGCAGCTTGGGATTTTTTTTTCCACTACCAAAAAAAGGTATGATAAATACCTTTAGAGAGAACAAGCAACAGTTAAAAATACGAGCCTCAATATAAATACTATAGTGCCTACTCTAAGTGAACATTGAATTCAAATACAATTCTAGAAATACAGAAAAAGTAGACCATAAATGTGTTTAAGCATAGGAATCGACATGAGTGTGCATTTTCCTATATTTTAAGTTCTTTATTATATATTCATATATAATCTTAATCCTTTCCCCAATGCAAATTGTATTTCAACCTGAAGAGCTGTGAAGAGCCAAGGCAAAAAAAAAAACAAAAAAACAAACAAAAAAAATACAAAACCATCACAGAGTTTTTTTTTTTGTTTGTTTTTCATCTTTTTTTTTTTTTAATCATTTCATATATACTGTGATCGGAGTCTTGAACACCACCAAGACGCTGAGGAAAAGAGAAACGACAACAAAACTTAAATACAGTTTCCCCTAAAAGATAGTGAAGTGTTATTTGCAAAAAACGTTTATTTTCATATCTATAATTAAAGGAAGATTTATACAAAACAGATTCTCGCAGTGTGAGCAACAAGATTTGAGTGTCTGTTGTTGAGCCAGCAAGGTCTGTAGATTGTTTATGTGTCGATGGTAATGATAATACACGGCTCCGTACAGTATGAGGATGTCATTGTGGCCGACTAGGAATGAGAACTGCATCCATTTTGCGACCGTGTAGGAGCTTCGGTTACTTACGTAACTCACAACAAACCTTTTAATTTACAGACCTTGCTGACAAGGGTGAATTTTCCTCCCAGGCTAAGTGCTGGGGTTTCTAGGGGTAACAAATTGACAAATGGTCAAAGGTGAAATGGCAAGGGTACAGAGGTCAAGGGTCATGTGGCTTGAGTTGCTGGCAACAGATTATGTGTCTCATCTTTTACTGCTTTTAAGAATGGGACCCTCGTCATCTGACAGCATTTCAGGAAGGTTTCCCCTTCAGCGTAAACTTGTAAACTGGGAAAATTGAAACAGTGCACTTCATGTCCTATAAATGACAATCTAGCTTTTAGACTCAGCCCATGTACCAACATTGCATCAGTGTGGAACAATGCGACGGAGACGTTGGTACGTATTCTCAGGCAGAGTGACAAGTGCTATACTATGAACAGCTTGAATGAAACGCAAGGAACAAAAACTCTCCTTTTGGGTTAAAAAGCAACAGCAAACAAAAAAACGTGCCCTGCATTGGCCTATGCATACTGATTAAAATTATCGCATTTTGCTTTTTCAAGAGCCCTAGAGTACAGATATATTTTTTGCAATTCTTTCTTTTTTTTTTCTGCAATTCATAGTGAATGACCCTGTTTTGATACTAGAAATGTAAAGTGAAAGACATTGCCTCTGATCCCCGTAATATGTTAGTAGCTTCCAGTTCTGTGTAGCTTTCTGTCTGTCTAGCTTGTAGTTATTTCAATGCTCTCAAATAAAGTTAGCCTTACTTGGAGCTCATATATTACTTTATGCATTGTTCCACACACTGACATAGTGAAGCAGCGTTGTAGGTTTGTGCTAACGCAGATACATGACACTTCTCAGCCATGCGCCGTATCCCTCAAGTTTAGGATTGTACATTACAGATTACCTTTATCTCAAAAGTACCTCCTTACCAGAAACAAAACTACAAATAATTCAGATATACACAATACTGCTTGTACCATGCTTGCCATGAAATCCTCATATTGAAGATAGCCTATTGAACATGTAATAGGTAGCTAAATGATGATTAACAAGAACTCTCTGATCTTTCATCATGAGTTGTCACAGTCCATTTGAGCAGTCAGGTGCTTGATGCAAGGACCTTTACTGGGTGGCTTAAACCTTCTAGCTTTATCTAGTGTGACCCCAAACTTATACCAGATAAGAATATGGCCAATGCAGTCTTGAGATATCAAAGGCACTCTTTTGTCTTCTACCAAATGATAGTACAAATTGAATTGTTAGCACACCCTTGTCTTTTTGAAAGAAATTTGAAGGCTGTCATCACTTTTAGTTTAGTCATTAAGCCAATGTATGATTTTTTTTTTTTTTAACCCTGTGTGAACATGGCATCTTTTAGAAAGATCAGGATAAGTGCATTTCCAGGGTTGTAAAAAGAGGGTCAAGTCAAAGACTGTTCACTTTCCATGTTACAAAACAAAGCTGTACATGATATGTGTTACAGAATGTATGCAGCATGGATGTATCTTTCTTGTCTTTTCTCTTTTTGAAGAATAAAAAGAAAAAACTGAACAAGAGAAAAACAGCAACACATTTACTCAACAACTAACCAACCAGGGACAAGTTCTTTTCTTTTTTTGATTAGCAAAAACATACTATGCATGCTGACTAATTCTTAAAAATGGAAAAGGAAAACTCAAAAAAGAAAATAGTACACAACATGTAAATTATTGCACAAGAGAAAGGCTCGAAGTTTTGCGTCAATGCAAGAGTATTGCCCCGATACAGATCATGCATTCAATGGGTAATGGAAACGGGGTGTGCTGGTGCAGAGCACATGGTCTTAAGCTTCCACCAGACTGGTGAAAGTGGAGTGTTGGGACGGGGGGCAAATCTACAAGGGGCTGGGAATAAACAGGGGACTGATGGCGGACATAGCTGCGGGGAAAAGGTCCCATTGTTCGGCCTTCTACTCTGACTTTATTTCGGTACTCAAAGGACGGTCACTGTGCCATTTTTTCATGTGTTTCTCCAAGGTGCTGTAGACACTGAAGGGCATCTGACAAATTTCACACTTGTACACGTCTTTGCCCACCTGACCGTGGGTCTTCATGTGGCGAGTAAGTTTGGAACTCTGGGCACACGCATAATTGCACAGCTCACACTTGTAAGGTCTCTCCCCTGTGTGACTGCGCCGGTGCACTGTCAGGTTACTGCAGTTCTTGAACACTTTGCCACAAAACTCACAAGTATCACTCCTACGGCCATCCTTGGAGCTGGGCCGCCCAGGACCCCCCAGGTGTGGTGTGCTGCCACCACTGCCTGTACCACTACGACCCGACATCCCGCCGTCCAGTTCCCCCGGAGGGGTCGAGAAACGCAGACTGCCATTCTCTGAAGAATGCTCTGATGAAGATGCAAAGGGCGATTGTCTGGAATCCCCAAAGTTCAGAAAAGGGTCCTTGAGTTGCCGGGAGGCGGCATATCCAGCCAGCCACTGGGAGTAGACGTTCTCTGTGTTTGGGATTGTGGGAGTGGGCAGGTCAAATTCCTTTTCCAGTTTGATACGCTTGGAGAAAGGACTGAGGGGACTGGGGCTACCCAGAAGCAGTTTCTTGGAGAGGCCGACAGAGGCAGATTCATTCGGGGACGCTCCTCGCCCGTTCACTGTTGAGACAGAGCCTTCCTCCACACGATCTGTTTCCAGCACCGAGTCTCCATCACACAGCTCACGATTATGGTGATGATCTCGGTTGAGATGGTGGTGCAGGTGGTTCTCCTGGGCCATGGCATTTCGTTTGTGTGCACTGAGGGCTTCGCTGAAGTGCTGCATGCTCGCAGCCAGGCCCATCCCCTGCATCACCTCAGGCAGTGAGCGAGGGATGGGGCCCTCATCAACCACTCCTCCCAGTCGACTTCCGATACCACCGTTGTTTTCATGCTGACGTGCTGCTTCCAGGTTCAAGCTAAAGTGATAGCTGTTGTTGGTTCTTCTGGCTGCCCTCTCTCCATTCGGTTCTTCCTCCTCCTCTCCCTCCTCTTCTTCCTCCTCTTCCTCTTCTTCCTCCTCCTCTTCCTCATCTTCTTCCTCCTCTTCTTCCTCCTCCTCTTCCCCATTTTCACGTAGCATGCGGTCATTCTCACTTTTCAGCTTGGCCACCACTGACTTCAGGGCATTGCTTGCACTGCCCATGTGCTCGCTGGTGCCAGGCTCTGGAGATGAGGCTGTTGAGAGACCGTCTTCTGACTTGCCTGTATTTGGCGAGGAGGATTTGTGCATGTGTGTCTTCATGTGGCGTTTCAACTTGCTAGCCTGTGTACAAGCATGATCACACAAGTGACATTTGTACGGCTTCTCTCCTGTGTGGCTGCGCCGATGTACTATTAGATTACTCTGGAACTTGAAGGCCTTGCCGCAAAACTCACAACACTTTGATTTCATCTGGGTGGCAGAGGAGGGTGTTGCCCCTGCTGAAGGTAGAGGGGTAGTAGGAGTGGTCTGAGAACCCACAGGTGACTGCATGGAGCCTGGAAGAGGTGGTGGAGTAGCAAGATATGGAGGTTTGCTGCCCCCTGCACCTCCTGCACCTCCGCTTCCTCCTCCTGTCTGGAATGGCTGGAGTAAGCGCTGCATGGGGCTGGGCCGGCTGGGGGATAGCGGGGGAGTGGACCCTGAGGTGTTGCCCGCCAGTTCCCGTAGCCGCCTTGAGAAGTCCATTGTTGGAGGAGGATCCAGAGGCAGAGGAGGATTGAGGCGCAGCACCCTGTCAAAGGCACTCGGGTGGTGGGCTGCCAGCGCCAGCTCCTCTGGGCTCAGGTGGTGGGGGTCCAGGTGGTTCCTTGGAGGGGGGCTGAAGAGGGGTGGTGTTGGAGGGAAACGCTGATGATGGCCCCCACTAACAATGCCACCAGCGCCAACACCGCTTCCTCCGACGCTGTCCCTTCCACCTGAGCCCGAGCCAGGGATGCGGAGGAGGTTGAAGGGGCTTGCATCGGGAGGCAGATGGAGGCCATGAAGGGGAGGCTGAGAGGGGCAGTCTGCTCCTCCACCGAGGGAGGAAGGCCCACCCATGCGTGGGGTGAGAGGACTGCCATGTTCACTTTCCAGGTAGATACGGAAGCCGTGGGTGTTCTGAGCATGCTGCAGCAAGAACCAGGCGCTGCCATACGACTGCTTGCATGTAGTGCAGGTGTAGGTGGTGGGCTCCTCCTTACCTGTTGGAAGAGAGGAAAAGAACGGGATTAGGAAAAACAATAACTCTTCAACACCATTAACGGCATTCACACTTTATGTTAAGTGTTACTGGATGAGACAAGCAACATTGGTATTGTCTGTCTATGGAATCCTTTAAAAAGTTTCCATTGTACAAAACTGAAGGATTTTCAAATGCTGCAGTGTGGATCATTTGCAAACATTAACACAGTTGTACATGAGCATTGCTGTGTACAGAATTAAATACATGAAGAACAACTCTGTTCGACTGAGCTGAACCAATCTTTTATCTGAACCTTAGGCCTAACTGTTACAGCTCTTAAAAGTGGTCGGCACATGGTGTTGAGGGCTTTGCAAATACAACAGTAGCTCTTATTGAGGTCATGCCCCACATGAGTAGCATGTGAGAAGTAGTGTGTGTGCGTATCTCTTTTTCTCCCAGACTGCTCTGGGACATAATTTGTCCCTTTAGACTGACTGTGAGTCCTCCATTGTCAGCAGGAGAACAAAGAAACAGGGCTATCCCAGCGGACTACCACTTCCCACTGATCTACCAAAACATAAGCTCGCTGACAAATACACACACACACACACACACACACAGACGAACACACAGGAGACAACAGAGAAGAATCCTTAAAACCTTTAAATTACTCCTTCCTTTAGTATTTTTGACAACAGAAGCATAAAACTCAAATGTATGCAAGTTTTATTAATGCAAACTGTATTCTAGAGTCATATCCTCTCATGTACTGCCCACACTTCAACAAACGCCTATCACCCCGCAGACATACACACTCGCTCACACACACACACACACACACAGATCAGAGAACCTGAGGAAGGTAAAACAGTAGGAGTGTAAAAACATTTAGGCTCCAACTGGAGAGGCAAAATAACCCTTTCAGCCTGCCTCAAAGCTTCTTCCCTCAGTGAAGCATGCAGAGTCACTTTGAGACGGCGACGAGAGGAACATTTAAAACAATAATTGCCTTTGAATGGCCTCGGCGACGATGACCTGTGGTGGGACCCGCAATGCATGTGTAATCTCATTAGAGCACCGAATGGACGGCCATCAGCTCGTTTACAAGATTAGATGGCAAACGAACCCCCGCCGCTGCCATTCAGGCCCATCCACTATTAAGCACTGTGCAGTGTGGGTGCATCTGACAAAGTGAACGAGCAGAGATGCACACGTGGACACTAACACACAACCTCAGGCATAAATAGGCACATTTACAAGAGTCTGACTGGAGATCTGAGAAAAAAATATTTAAGTACAAAATGTTGCCGTGCATGAAGGCCACTCTGGAATTTTCTCACACACTTTAGTATTTTGTCAGTTTGCTTCACTCCATAAATCATTCAGAGCGAGAAACCGATCATTCAGTACGTATCCTTACATAGACAGCAAATGTTACAGCAGGTTGTCAGGAGAGTTGAAATACCGGCAGGCAGACGTAATAAGGCTTAAATTAATTCTTATACGTTTGTGTTTTTGTGCCTTGCCAAAAATTGCCTACCATAATATGGACTTGAATAAAATCTGACGCTATCTTTCATTTATGAGCACAGTTATTTATGGAACAACAGCCCCAACTGCAACACAAAATGAAAAGTGTGAAAAAGTTGTAGCACATAAACTGAAACATGTTGTAATATTACCGCTAAAGCAAATGGGTGTCGTTCTCGGGGTCGTGATATTGATGCTAATTATCTCCGATGATTTTTTGGTTAAAAGCTATTTTGCCGCATCGTGTCGTGGACAATAAATTACAAAACAACCCATTAATATGTAAACAGGTTAGGTGGGTTGTAAAAATACACACCAAATTGGGACGTATCACCTGCTAATTACTGGCAGAACAAATATGACAAATTAACAGTGATACTAAAAGGATGTCATGGTTTACATGGAAGCTTTTATACATCAGCAGACTGCAATTTACCTCTAATAGCCAGAAAGAGAGAGTCACAGAGGTTGAAGTGGAAAAAAAAAGAGAGAGAGAGAGAGAGAAAAAAAACTGCTTCAACAAATATCCGCAAAGACAAAATGTGTTTGTGTGTGCTTGTGAGGGTTTATTTAAAAGAGGTGTAATTTCCCACACGCTATGCGACTTACAAACAGTGATTTAAATTGACAAAAGATTTGCTTTTATTCACAAAGACGACAATGAAGCGTGAAAGAATGGCGCGCCGCCGTAAAGTAGACATGATTGTGTAAAAGTGTAGCGTAGACGGGGGTCTTGTCTGCTGGTGCATTTTCAGTTGTCGTGGTGGAAGATTTTGCTCCTTCCTTCATTTTCCTCCCTTCTCCTTGCGTACACACAAACATCCCGTATGACCAACCGTTTGGAAAGGCAGCTAAATTATGGATCATTAAAATCGGCACAAATTACCACTAATTGTAGGCACCTGCAACGGATCTAACCTGTGAATATCATTTGCATTATCAGGACCAGGGAGGCTTCATTTATTTATTCATCTTTTCTTTACTCTGGTTGATCTGCTCCAATCCTGACAGTGCTGACAATAACACTGCAGGTTTTCCACTTTGGGTTGAATCAGAAGACAGCCCATTCATCCCGCAATCCTTTTCTTTGTTGAATAGATGTATAATGTGGAATTTGTCTCTTGTTTTTTTTTTCTTCTTTAAATTAAGCAGCCACGTTCCCCAAACAGTAATTCTGAACAGCGAAGCTAATGTGCCGCAGCGACATCTGCATTCTTACACGCACGAATGAAACAAAAAAAGTTGTTGAGTGACACGGGGTTTAACACAATGTCAACAACAGGTTTAACAGTAATAGCTGCCCGGCTTTTCTTTGGAAACTGTAATTCTCCCTGCAGTATTTCATTTGTGGAAAAAAAGACATCATTTTACCATCTATTGAAAGTCAAAATAAAATTGTGGCAATCACTCCATCATTCAAAATAGAGCTGCTCCTATGGAAGAAGCCCAGATAAGTATAATATTCTTCTTGTCTGCTGAATAAATATTTAGTTAGAAAATGCTTGGTATGAAGAAAACAATATTGGAAATTGTCAGCAGCACTCGTAAGATGCATGTCATTTAGTCCAGTGGTTCTCAGACTGGGACCCTCACAAATAGAGCAAATAACATATTTCTATGACATTAAAGTACATTCGCTTTTCATCTAACATTTGTTTTATCATCTGGATTGTCACAGGCAGCTTTGTTTTAAGAAATCTAAAAGTCCAAATGTTGGGGAATCACTGCACTTCTGAATTTGCAAGAAACAAAAAGTTTATCTATATGATTGTGCTGACTCTGCTAGTGGACTCCTAGTAAATTCCCTGAAAACTGTGTGCTGAAAATATAGACATACTTGGTGATCTGGGTATTTAAGGGGCTGACTGAGGCTGCATATTTTTGTGCTGTGTCCTGGATCAGTGTACATCGGCGTCACCCGGGAAGATACTGTCAATTAACAAAAATGGGGGGACTGTGAGCTTGTGTGGCACCGTATCATGTTGACAGCACTGCCATTATACAGACTGAAATCAACATTTTCAGTTTTCAGACAAAGATGTGGTCAAAATATTAAGCAAAACAAGTGCAAGGCACAGTGGTCTAACTCTTAAGCTAATACGCTCCTTTTTGACTCGTAGCTCAGACTTGTCTGCGCGCTGATTGAAACTGTAAGGTTAATGGATTTTAGAGTAGGCGACCGCTCCACTCTGTCTCCCTGTAATATACTCCCATCAGCCACTTCATTAGGCAAACTCTCCACCACTCCAAGGTAGAAAAATGAAGTGAGAAAGCAGAATGGAGACCAGGAGATGAAGACAGATAGAGGCAGAGGAAGGGAAAGAAAGAGATGAGATAGAAGTAATCCCTCTGGTTTAAGTTTAGATAGAGGTGACAAATACCTCCTACAACTTCAGAGTTTGGGTACAGCAGGTATACGGAGGAGACGGAGGAAGAGGGAGGAAAGGAGGGAGGACAGGTGGGGGTAAATAATAGCATCCGGTTCTTTACCTGGAGTAAATGTCAAAGCCGTGCAGCCACTAGTGAGACTCCAGAGAACACACACACGCACAGCTTCAGAAATGTCCTAACACTCAATACCAGCCATGCTACAGTGACAAGCACAGGCATTAAGCCCTATTAAGCCAAGGGCATTGCCTGGACACTTATGTGGTGCTAGATGGGAGAGGGAGGCAGTATGGGAGCTTGGCTCATGTTTCACGACTCCTTTGTGTGTGAGAGAGAGTGTGAGTGTGCAGCAAGTTCCCCTGGCTCTATCCATCCCTCTCAAAAGGAAGTGTAGCACTCTGATCCAATGGCTGTCCAAGGAGCTGAAATACAGCCAGTGCACCAAACTGAGGAGACACACTGTACATCCAAAAAAAGGCATTCATTAAGGCCAAAATGCACTGGAAGCATCACACACATTTTACAATGAATGGCTGAACCAGAAAGGTTTTATTTTACTTTATTTAACTACAAATCATTTTTATTTGTTTTTGCTTTAGTGAACAATTTTTCCCTTTATTTCATCATTTCTTATGCGCTACAATCTTGTTTTTTCCCTCATTTCTTTCCAGTCATTTTGACAAATTCCAGTGGAATTATGGATTTAGTTAATTAGCACCTTAAACTTGTCGGCTTACCAGTGTTGTTCTATACAAAGAACTATGACAGAGGTTACAGCGTTTGCCACAGTGAAAACATATTATGAAATGCCAGCGCCTTGATGCATGTAGCCGTGCTCTGCAGGTCACACTGGCACAACTGCGTGGTGAGATACACCTCCAAATGCTGTAGATTGGCTCTGTTTCACATAACCTATAACTTTTTTAGACTAAGTTATATGTGTGTCTGTGAAGGCTGCGAGCACTTAAAGACTGCATCTTTGAGATGGTGGCACATTAAAACTGGACAAATCTTTTTAATGAAGCCACCTCAGAATGTCAGCCTGTATAACTGTCTGTTCTCCAGCCAGTCATTCTGTCCTGTAAATTAGCTGGACTGCCA